CTAGAGAACTTTGTAGAAAATACATACCAGATAGAATGTGATGAGAGAAATATACTAGCTGCTATTGTTAATTCCAAGGAATAAGTGCCCTCAATTTTAGAATTAAAAGATTCCTTATAAATATGTATATTACCCCTTCCTATGAATATTTATGGTGCATATTTATAACAATTTTCATTAAAGTAGCCAAGGAAACATTCAGTTAAAATTCTCCACCAAAACACAGTCAGAAATATATTAAAATTAGATAAATATTTTGCTCATGCATATGTGTATCATTAAAATTAACTTCATTTTATCTACCGAATGTTAAAGAAAACTTAACTGCTCTTTCCAAAAATTGAAAGCTTAATATTTAAAATTGGATTCTTACAGAATAATCTGCAAATTATACTATAATCTGGGCTGGGGCGATGGCACAGTCGGTAGAGCGTTTGTCTTGCATGCAGCTAACCCAGGTTTGATTCCTCTGCCCCTCTCCGAGAGCCCGGAAAGCTACCAAGAGTATCTCGCAAAACCTGGCAAGCTACCCGTGACGTATCCGATAGGCCAAACACAGTAACAACAAGTCTCACAATGGAGACGTTACTGGGCCCACTCGGGCAAATAGATGAACAATGGGAGGACAGTGCTACAGTGCTACTATAATCTAGAAGTAAGCAATATAAATACTCTCAAGAAATTCTTAGAAGGGTTTGGGTGTTTCCCATATATTCTTAGTCAACTGGACTTGGGGTTCAATACGATGGCAAAGGGTGTAGGAAAGGAGATGACCTGAGCATCCCTAATAGTGTTTGGGGATTCCAGGACTGCTTCTAGTGATACTCAAGTAACCATGTATTATCCATTTGAATCAGGATTGTTCACGTGCAATCCATCCCTTCTCTAGTCCTTACACTAAGCTTCAACGTTGGCATATGTGCTGACGCTGCAAGCCATGAAGCTCAGGTTGGACATACAGAGTTGTCGTAGGGCTGCTACTAATGATGCTATGAGAGAGCATAAGAGTTTTTCCATTTTTTGGCCTATAGTCTACTTTCAGCATGCTTCTCCCATCCTGGGAGGATCCTCTCAACACCCTTTATTTGGTGCTCCCTTCTCTATCTGAACTCCCGTTTCCCCTAGCATGTGATTGCTACTCAATGCCTCTTTTGCAAACCACAACACCCAAAAGGAGAGAGAGCACAAAAGGGTATGCCCTGCCACAGAGGAAGGGTGGGTTGGGAGGGATGGGGGGGTGGGAGGGATACTGGGATCTTTGATGGTGGAAAATGGGCACCTGTGGAGGGATGGGTATTTGATCATTGTATAATTGAAACCCAAGCAGGAAAATTTCTAAGTCTACAACTGTACCTCATGGTGTCTCACTAGTAAAAATTAAAAAAAGAGAGTTTTGCCATTTTGAAAAACATAGCTCTTCCCTGTTAAAGCATTCATTTGGCCATCTCTGATAGCATTTCTGGAAAAAAGCAGAGTGTCCTCAGGTCAATTCTGCAGAGCTATGGCATCACAGATCTGCAAGGTAATGTTTACCTAACTTTTATGAAGAAATTAAGTTTCCCCAAACTCAGATATTGCTGTCTTTATGACAAAAAAAATGTCTGAGAAAATGTCCTCTGTGAGGCATTATCCAGGAGCAAATGTACCTCTGAATAAAACAGATGCCTTGTAGGTTGCCTAAATGTTCAGAATCTAGCATATTTATGAATGTGATATTTAGGAAAAACTAAACTTAACTATAAAACTTTACACAAAATATTTATGGTTGCTCCAAAGGCAAAATGAAATAGAAAAGACTCTCAACAAAAACTTTGGGAGATATTCATACTTCAAAATGGGCAGCACTCAGAAATTCTAAATTGTTATTCTCAAATCTTGTTCAGTATAATGTCCTTTACGTAGTAAAATTATTTAGAAAATGTTTTAGTCATTTTAACTTCTTGATTTAGTACACATGCTAACAGAATAAAGTATCTGAGGTTAGTAACAGCACATGGCTAGTATGTCTGTTAGTCTTATATTTCCTCAAATTTTAATTTCCTGATGAATTTCTTATAGATTTAATATATTCATAAAATAGACTTTGAGCTATTGCATTTAAATTAATACATCTATAATAAATCAAATAAACCTTCATAATAAAATTAAGATACCCCACGGATAAAATGTCTATTGTAAGGAAAATTATATTTGTAATTTTGTCCATATCAATATACTTCTTTATAAATATTCTCACTGATATCATGAATTAGATATAGTAATCAGAAATATAAATCACAAAGTAATCTAAGATAAATATTATTGAAAGAAGATTTTATTACAAATTAATGCTACCTAAGTTGCTATCTCCTTTTATAAGAGATTTTATTTTTTTATCTTAGCACTAAAACTGGAGTAGACTTAGACCTCAAACATATTATCCTATGGGATATGTACAGTGGTACAAAATATTATTTGGGGACCAGAGTGATAGAATAGTAGGTAGGGTGCCTGCCTTACATTTGGCTGATCTGAGTTCAATCCCAGATAATTCATTTGGTCCCCAAAGCCCACTATTAGTGACCAGGAATTCCTCAGTGAAGAGCCAGGAAACCCTTGACTACAATGGATTTGACCCTTAAACAAATAGAACATAGAAAGCAGGATGTCTGGATTTACAAGTAACTAATTTTGAAGACTGAAGTATAAATTCTTCAGTTTTTGTCTCCTAAAGTAAGAGATAGGAAAGATACTTTCAAACAAGGTCCATGTAGACTAATTATTGGTGACAGCTAAGAAGGCAAGCTAGTTCTTCCATATATATATCAACATCTAAGCATTATATTGTATGTAATCTCTACTAGCTCCTTAGTTCTCTTGATGCTTCATTAGACTGCTAACATTTCACAGAAATGTAGCATTGGTAAGAACAACCAATTCATATTTATATGCCTATTATCATGTTTTACTTGACCACAGCATTGGTTTCTTAGCGTATAATGAATTTTCTTTTTTTTTCTTTTCTTTTTTTGATTCTATGTTAACAAATCACATACTTCATTGCTATCAAAATGCTATAGGTAGCAAAAATAAACGATACCCAGGGGACCTGGACATCATGTTCATAAGAATTTACTCACTTTTCAGGATGGAAAGGTTGATGTAAACTATTATTCATAAGGGAATGGTTATTCTCTATGGAATAGAAATTCTTAAATTACTACCCAAAACTTCTTCCTAATTTCATGAATAGAATGCTATATCAAGACTACTATTATATTACATGTGATGGAAAAAGAAATTACGTAGGGATAGTCAAGTTGCTATAACTCAACTAACTGAACATAGAAAATGATCTTATATCCATTTATTGACTTTCAGTTAATCGTGTGTAGTATCACAGATATTGAGTTATGTGAGCAAGTTTTGAAGCATTGAAAGCAAGCATTGAAAGCAAGTTTTAACATGATAGCTGCAGAAGTCTTATCAGAAAGACTTGAATCCATGTTAACTAATTTATAATAGAAACAAAATATTTTAGCAAAAGAAGAAAATATGTTGGAATTGGCTCAGAAATCATTTGCTTCTGCATTGAAAAGGTTACCGAATGTGATACATAGACCAGTAAGAAGAGGTGCTGGGAGCTTGTGGATAATAAATGCTTTCTTCATCTGCTATTCTGTTTCTTTCTTTTTTTTTTTCAAAAAAGTATGACTAAATTTATTTTACTAAAAGTCCTACCCTTCATGGAAAAAAAAGAGGGCAAATAATGATCAAAGTTCTGAGAACAGCCCAGAAGTGCCAAGATTCACCCCATGACTTGCTTTCTACAACAGGGAGTTGGGTTTCTCTCACATTTGTTTAAATTTAAGCATTATTTTTCCCCAGAACCTTCACATAAAAGCTGAATCAGTCAGTTACCTTGCTTTCAGCTTAGTGAGAATCTATAGCAAAGATCTAAGCTTAGTCCATTTGCTCTATACAACATTGTGCTGCTACAAGCAATTAGTTTTAAACTACCATTTGGGCAATTATTTTTATTAAAATTGGAGCGATAGCACAGTGGTAGGATGTTTGCCTTGAGCGCAGCCAGCCTGGCCGAGCCGGGTTCGATTACTCCACCCCTCTTGGAGAGTCTGACAAGCTACCCGGCAAGCTATCTCGCCGGCACATGAAAGCCTGGCAAGCTACCTGTGATGTATTCAATACGCCAAACACAGTAACAACAAGTCTCAAAATAGAGATGTTACTGGGCCCGCTCGAGCAAATCGATGAGCAATGGGAGGACAGGACAGGACAAAATTATTTTATTATTATTTATCAACAAATTATTATTTTCAACAAAAAAAATTTGTTTTCTTTTTGGGGGGTTAGGGTACACACAGTTATGCTCAGAATTTACTCCTGTCTCTGTGCTCAGAAATAATCCCTAGAGGGGGCTCTGGCACCCTATGTGGTGCTAGGGAGATGCTGTGTGCAAAGTAAGTGCCCTACGCACTGCACTATCTATCCAGTCTAAGAATTATTTCTTTGAGAGGCTTAATACTGTGTCACATTTTGAGTTTTCCTAACCTCTTAAGCAGCTATTCAGAAGAATCAGCAAATAGAGCAGTATTGTAGTGAGCAAGAAATGCCACTGAGCCTGTGTAAAGCTTCCTCCCATTGTTCATCGATTTGCTCGAGTAGGCCCAGTAACGTCTGCAATGTGAGACTTGTTGTTGCTGTGTTTGGCATATTGAATATGCCACGGGTAGCTTGCCAGGCTGTGCCCTGCGGGCGAGATACTCTCTGTAGCTTGCTGGGCTCTCAGAGAGAGGCAGAGGAATCAAACCTGGCTCTACAGGGCCTGCCATACACAAGGCAAACGCCCACTGAGCTATACAAATCTGTATTTCCTTCTATAATTCTAAGCAGTCAGTGAGATAAAGGGATTAGGAAGGATGTTGGAGGCACACTTGAGGCCGGCCAGCAGCGCTGGGGAAGCCAAGTCGTTGCTGTCACCGTTAGCAGGACTAGCCCCGGGAGATAGCCCACAATGGCTGAAAATGGTGATACTGAAAAAATAGCTGCCCTGAAAGCCAAAATCTGTCATCAGATTGAGTATTATTTTGGTGACTTCAATTTGCCTCTGGACAAATTTTTAAAGGAACAGATCAAACTAGACGAAGGCTGGGTGCCTTTGGAGATAATGATAAAATTCAACAGGTTAAATCGTCTAACAACAGATTTTAATGTAATAGTTGAAGCATTGAACAAATCTAAGGCAGAACAAATGGAAATAAGTGAAGACAAAACTAAAATTCAAAGATCTCCAAACAAATCCCTCCCTGAATTAACTGATGAATGTAAAAGTGATGTAAAAAACAGATCTGTTTACATTAAAGGTTTCCCAACTGATGCAACCCTTGATCACATAAAAGAATGATTAGAAAATAAAGGTCAAGTACTAAATATTCAAATGAGAACACTGCATAAAGCATTTAAGGGATCAATATTTGCTGTGTTTCATTGCATTGACTCTGCCAAGAAATTTGTTGAGATCCCTGGCCAGAAATACAAAGATACAGACCTGCTAATTCTTTTCAAGGAAGATTACTTTGCAAAAAAAATGAAGAAAGAAAGCAAAATAAAGTCGAAGACAAATTATGAGCTAAACAAGAGCAAAAAGAAAAACAAAAGTTAGCAGAAAATGCTGAGATGAAATCTCTTGAAGAAAACATTGAATGCTTGTTGAAATTTTCTGGTGATTTGGATGATCAGACCTGTAAAGAATATTTGCATATTCTTTTCTCAAATCGTGGTGAAATAAAATGGATAGACTTTGTCAGAGGAGCACATGAGGGAATAATTCTATTTAAGGAAAAAGCTAAAGATGCATTGCTTAAAGCCAAAGATGCAAATAATGGTACCTACAATTAAGGAACAAAGAAGTGACATGGGAGTTTCTTGGAGGAGATGTAGAAAAAGAAGCACTAAAAAAAAATCATAAGAGATCAGCAAGAATCCCTAAATAAATGAAAATCAAAAGGTCGAAGATTTAAAGAAAAGGGAAAGGGAAATAAAGCCCAAGCTGGGTCTGCTAAAAGAAAAGTACAATTTCAGGGCAAGAAAAATAAATTTGACAGTGATGATGAACGTGATTAAAGTGGTGCAACTGAACCAGCAAAAAGAGCAAGAGAAGACACAGACAAAGGCATCAAAACAAAAGAAAACAGAAAATGGCGCTAGGGATCCGTAGTTTCAATACTCAAAAATTTAAAAAATCACTTTTGTTAGTAATTATGTGGCTTCTGTTTAAAGACTTTTATTTAATTAATTAATTTATTTATTTATTGCTTTTTGGGTCACACCCAGCGATGCTCAGGGGTCATTCCTGGCTCTGCACTCAGGAATCACTCCTGGCAGTGCTTGGGGGACCATATGGGATGCTGGGGATCGAACCCAGGTCGGCCGCGTGCAAGGCAAACACCCTACCTTCTGTGCTATCACTCTGGCCCCCTATTTAAAGCCTTTTAGAAAGAAAACCGAATTAAGTCCACTTCAATGTCCACCTGTAAGAAAAAAAAATGTTCAACTCTTGTTATCTAAATTTTTATGTATAGTTGTTCGTGTTATTTCTGATATTCAATATCAGAAAATTAATTGAATTGCTTTTGTAATATGAAAATTAATATAAACTAATAAAAATGTATACTGTATAAAAAGAAAAAAAAGAAGGATATTGGAGGCACTATCATATTGTAGCCGTTCATTCTATTTTGCCTCTGATGCTCTGATTCCCCTTCTGTTTGATATATGTATTTTTAATTACTGCATATACACATAAAGACTGGAGTTTCCTTATAACATGTGTGTGCTAGTCTCCAATGTGGTATATCTCTGTTCCAAACTGAGCATCATTACCCTTTTGATATTCTAAATAAAAACAAATGAAGAAGAAGGAATTTATATTTCTGGTTTCCTGCTTTAGTTCAGCCATGGTCTTCTACCTTTGGACTTTAATTTAATTTAAAATTAAAGTTTAAAATACAAACGAAATTACTTTAAATAAGCATAAGATTTGTTTTTATTAGTACATAAACAAATCATACACTTGATGACAGACAGCCCTCCCTGGCTAAAATTACTATGTGTGATTTTCGCATGTTGTATCCACTTCCACAGTTCATAAATGTTCATAAATATTCATTTTAACTAGGACCATGTTTTTAGAAATCTTTGCCAAAATTCAATTCATTCATTACTACAGAATACAGATATTTCCTTACTTGAGACTATGCTTTTTTGTCCATTTAAAAATATATGTAAGCAAACAAACTAAAAATATTAAGACTCCAAAACTGTCTATAGTTAATTTCCCCTTACTCCTTTGTTTTTCAGGGGTATACTTCAATGGTTCTTTAGTATATTAGAATTATATTTTTTGTATACATAAAACTTATTGTTTTATTGCATCTCTAAACCAAGTCCAAGGACTTTTTTCTCCTCTTATAAATATCTATAGAGAATCACCTATGAATTTGTACTTATAAGCTGAGGGAAATATACTGCTATAATAGAACAGTGGTTAGGGCGTTTGCCTTGCACATGGCCTATTCGGGTTTGATTCCTCCCTCCCTCTCAGAGAGCCTGGCAAGGTAACGAGAATATCCTGCCCACATGGCAGAGCCTTGGAAGCTCCCTATTGCATATTCAATATGCCCAAAACAATAACAATAAGACTTACAATAGAGATATTACCGGTGCCCACTCAACCAAATCGATGAACAATGGGAGGACAGTGCTACAGTGGTACCATAGAGAAGAGTGATATGGAAGCAGAGACTATTTATAATACTTGCCTTTTATTCTTACTTTTCCCAGATTTTAATTCTGGATATACTATTTTCTGTGATACAGTTTTCTGAAGCTAACATTTTTTGCCTTGTGTGTTCTGCACAAACTAACCATATTATGGCAAAATTTTGTTTTTGCTATTTGATACATACTATCAAATCTTACCTTCTATCTGAATATCAAATAGACTTCACCAATCTTGTTTTGGTCATTTGGAGTCATAAGTATTTTAGGGAATATCCAGAAATGAAATATGAACACATTAGTTTTCTTAGAGCACGTTACTCAAAGATCATAAGTATCCTTGAACATTATCACGAAGATGCTTTTCAAAAATAAAAGATAAGAAGTACAAATACTTGTTGGAGAACAGTTTTTGCCCAAAATGCCCAGGCACGTTGCATACCAGGTCCAGGAGACATACGGCAAAGGAAGACAGGAGTGTGGATAAACCACTCTGAGAGATAGCTGATGGCTGTTCACTTTATTGCCAAACACACACATATTTTATAGAGGGTCTCAGATGGTGCAATCACATGAAGTTTAGCATTACTGACCTATCACCTTTCCAACTCTGCTTTGCTCCATCCAATTCCAATTAGGGTTAGATGCTGCAGTTAGGAATGACTCGCTAAACATAGGTGACAATTCCTGGGGGGCTAGGTGAGACTCAAGGGTGCCTGGTGCTGGTAATATGTGCCCAGACACTTCCTTCTGGGTCTCTATGCAGGGACAGATTTTATCTGCTATGCAGGAACAATCTTACCTGCTCTGGAGTCTGTTGCCTTGTTCCACAGTTATTTAATTTGATAAGTCAGAATATTCCCTTGGGATTTTTGCTAGCAGAAAAATTGTATTTTATTCTAGAAACAAGTGATTAGTTTAATATTTAAAAATATTTTAAATTTTACAGCATTAGTTCCAAAAATATTTGATTAATATTTTGTCTGTTGAAAAACATTGGATCAATTAATCCCATCCATAACTGAAATACTTAACTGACTAGAACTAAGGGAATTTATTTAATAAAGAAAATCTTTATAAACTGTGTTGCCAAAGTTATACAATAGTGAAAATTTAAATATTAAGTATCAAAGATTAATTTTTCTATAATATCAAGAAGCATATAAGAAAATATGATTCCAACAATTTTTCAAAACTGAAGATCCTATGTGTTAATCAAGGCTAGAAAAGAAAATTAAATGTAATAAATTTTGAAAATGAAGATTTTGAATTGTCTTTAAAGCATAGTCAACATAATTTACTATCTAAGATATTTATAAAAGTATAAAATACTAATTTTTTAATTAAATAATTTCAAGTTTCATGGGAGATGTAAAAGCCACTTATACTTTTAAATGATAAGAATAAATCGTTGAACAATAAAATTTAATGAAGTATTTCAATTGATTTCTCATCAAAAACACATAAGATATGCAGGTTTAAATCAAACATAATATGCCAAATATCTATGCTAAAGATATAAAATAAATTGAAGAAAGCAAATTATTTATGTGTACCTGTAATCTCTTTGAAAAATGTCTTTTCAGAAGGCTGGGAGATAGTATAGCAGATAGGATGTTGCTTTGCATATGGTCAACTTGGGTTTAGTCTCCAGAATCCCCCAGCCCTCCAGGAGTGATCCATGAGTAGAACCAGAAATATGCCCTTAGCACCCTCTCCTCTCCAAAAGAAAAGATTTTTAAAGATAATTGAATCAGAATTTGGGTTTGAATTGCATAAATTCTTTTTTATTCTAAGCCACATTTACAGATGCTCAGGGATTCCTTCTGGCATAGCTCATGGAACCATATGAGGTGTGGATTAAGCCCTAGTCTCCGAGATGCAGGGCAAACTCCCTACCTGCTGTACTATTACTCCAGTCCATGTTCTGACAAATTTTAGGTTGTAATTCCTTTTCCCCTACTGTAGCACTGTACTGTCCTCCCATTGTTCATCGATTTGCTCGAGCAGGCCCACTAACGTCTCCATTGTGAGACTTCTTGTTACTGTGTTTGGCGTATAGAATACACCATGGGTAGCTTGCCAGACTTTGCTGTGTGGGCGAGATACTCTCAGTAGCTTGCTGAGCTCTCAGAGATTTGAGGAAGAATCAAACCCGGGTTGGCCAGGCAGTCTGTGCTATCACTCCAGCATAGATAGTACATTTTTTCACATTTTGTAGCTTGCTTCTTACGTGTATTTTTTCTTTTGCATATAGAAGCTTTACTTTTAATGTAGTACTACTTTGTGCTTGAAACCAATTTTTTGATGTATCATGAGATACACAATTACAAAGTTGTTTGTTTCTGTCATACAGCACTTTAAAATACAATGTTCCAACACCCATCCCCTGACCAGTGTACATTTCCCACCACTAATGTCCCCAGTTTCCTTCCTGCCAACCCCACCAGCCTACTTATGTGGCAAGGACTTCTCTTTCTCTCTTTCTCTCTCTCACACTCTCTAAGAATAGAAGACTATTCTTTCTCCATTATATGTTTTTAGCTTGATTATGAACTACTAGTATTAGGGTTCACAATCCAAATACAAGACACCCATGCGGAGTTTGCAGAATTTATTACAGAGAGTTATTACAGACTGACCAGTCAGGGCCGCACCCCACTGAAAAGGGTCTGGAGCGCGACCTTAAAGTAGGCTAAAAACACTTACTGACTGACCACCATGTTCTTTCCCTCCCTACTGATTGACTGGTACCACCTGCAAGTAATACAAATCTTTGTCTCCTCATCTATTCTTGTTCCTTTTTCCAGGATGTGCTCCAAGATGTGGTTTGGAGTTCTTGTCCAGTTCAAACACCAGTTAGATAAGCATACAAAATGACTCCCTAAACTAAAATGTCTTCAC